AGGTGAGAGAGAGAGAGAGAGAGAGAGAGAGAGAGAGAGAGAGAGAGAGAGATAGAGATGAACACACAGCTGATACACTGTGCTGAATCTCTCAGGCTGAGGAGCGAATCTTGAAGAAAGTGAGACGGAAGATCCGGAATAAACTCTCGGCTCAGGACAGCAGGAGGAGGAAGAAGGAGTACATCGACGGCCTGGAGAGCAGGTACACACACACCTCTGATCATTCACACACACCTCTGATCATTCACACACAATACCGGCGCGTCCATAGAAGCGACCTAGGCAGCCGTCTAGGGCAGCAGAATTGAGAGGGCGGGTTGGGAAAATAATGGGTTATTTCTGTATCGTGAACAAATCCTTTTAACCGGATCTTCTAAGTGAACCGGCTGAACTAGTTCACCAAATTGAACTGAATCATTTGAAATGATTCGCGTCTCCAGTTAGCACTTATCCACAAAACTACTTACTTTATAACAAGCCTAATACCCCCTCTGACTCTAAATAATCCAATATATACTCTCATTCAGTTATCAAAACAGTAACGCTACACTGAGATCAGATTTGAGAAGAGATGAACCGATAATACAGCGCATGCGTGATTCAGTGAACCAAACACAAACAGCACATGACAGCCTGCTGTGACTGAACTGAAGAACAACTGCAGTGCGGGTAAACCGAGTGCTTTAATGAGATGATCTGGTGAATAAAGTAAGTTTATTTCATAACAGAAAATCATAATGGAATTTAAATAAGTGAATCACGATTCAGTTGAGTTACAGAACTTCACTGTAAGACATTTTTCAGATCATGCTGATGTTTTAACTGACTGAAATGATTATTGCTGACTACATAATGATGAGTGATCCATGTTAAAGATCTGAACTTCCCATCACTGCTGTGTGTCTGGGTAGATGGGTAGATGGTAGTGGTATATGATGGTGTTCATGTGTCCTCTAAAGGACACTGAGTTTTTATTATACAATATTTATTCTGTTGATTTTGAGTCTTGCAGATAAAAATATCCTCATTTCCAAAACAAAACCCTAAAACTAATACTGAAACTAATAAACACTAAACTAAAACTAAATCATTTCAAAATATAGAAACTAATAAACACCAGTAAATCTGCCTTTAAAACTAATCAAAACTGAAAAAAAATCAAAACGAAATAGAAACTAAAACTAATGTAAAATCCAAATCTATTATAACCTTGATCTCCTCCTTCTGTTGTGTTCTGCTGTGATTCTGACTGTTGTAGCTGTGTAATAACTCTAATCACTCAGCGGAGTGATATGGAGCTGATCTAAACCTGCCGGAACTACTTTAGCTGTGCTTTTATCTGACAATAACCAAACACCTGAAAATGCTCGTGTGTGTGTGTGTGTGTGTGTGTGTGTGTGTGTGTGTGTGTGTGTGTGTGTGTGTGTGTGTGTGCGTACGCGTGTGTGTGTGTGTGTGCAGGTCTCTGGTGGCGCAGCTACACAGACTGCAGGCTCTGATCAAGCAGACGGCCACTAAAGCTGCGCAGACGAGCACATGTCTGATGGTGAGTTTCAGGCCCAGTGTACTCTGATGTGTGTTAGTTGTAAAGCGCATGAGTTCTGCTGTGGTTCCTCCTCACACTACCCGGAGTGTTCCAGCGCTGATAACAGAGCGTTCTGGAGCCGCTGCTGAGGCCGTGTTGCTGTGTGTCAGTGTGAATGGAGGAGGCGGAGACATCTGAACATGGAGGCGGGGCTGCAGACATTCTCCTCTCTGATTGGGCCTTTTCCCCTTAATATGAAGAGCTCAGAGTTGAGTCCTGCATCCTCTCCTTCAGTTCAGACTTTACTAGTGTGATGAGGAGAACACACTAGAGGAAACACGGTGTAGTGTATGAGCTGATCCACATCATCCCCCTGCAGACTCCACTGCTGCACTATCCTCACACTAAACTGAACACAGGAGATGAGGAACGGCCCATTCTCATCCTGATATGAGCTGAACACACTGCAGAGATGAGGAGCTGCAGATGTAGACGAGCCTCATCATCACTGTGTGCATATGAAGATCAGAACACAGCCCAGAACAGCAGCACCTCCTCTCATGATCAGTGAAGAACATGATGAAGATCAGCTTCATCATCAATAATGGCCATCAGAACAGGAGAACACACAATAAGAGTCCACAGTAGAGGACATACAGGCCAGCAGATCAGATCCAGCAGGAGATCCTTCAGCTGTCCTCTTCAGAAGCACTCGGTGAAACGCCAGCGTGGACATTCAATAACGCCATTTTCAAACTAAAACAAGGCCTCAGTCTCTCTTCAGGAGCTTTGAGTGTGTGTTGGACAGCTGCAGTAACTGTGTGTGTGTGTGTGTGTGTGTGTGTGTGTGTGTGTGTGTGTGTGTGTGTGTGTGTGTCCCACAGATCCTCCTGTTCTCTCTGGCTCTGCTGATCTTCCCCAGCTTGAGTCCATTCCACCGCAGCTCAGAGTCTCTGCAGGACAGCTACGCTCCGGCCGCCGGTCAACATCACACACACACACACACACACACAGTTATAAAGATGTGTATTACTACACAAACACCGTTTGAACACTGATCCAGATGTGGCCTTGTTCTCCGACGCTCCCTGATGTTGAGTGTTTCTCTGTGCGCAGTGATCTCCAGAAACATCCTGAATGACGTGAGCTCTGCTTCCTCTGCGCTGCTGGACGACTCGGTTCTCCATAAACCCATGATTCCTCCAGATCCTCCGTCAGAGCAGCGAGCAGCAGACCTGGAGGTGGACGAACGGCTGATCCAGGACTCGGTGATGGTACGAGAGTCCAGTCACGCTCAGAGCAACGGCAGCACAGAGAGCCAAACACACACAGACCTGCAGCCGCTGGCGATAGCTGCAAACACAGACAAACTCCCACATGCGGACGAGATGTGAGACGTGTGTGTGTGTGCGTGTGCGTGTGTGTGTGTGTGTGTGTCTGCTCTCTCACTCTTATGCACTCTTATTTATTTAAGAACTCTGGGAATGTGTGTGTGTGTGAGTCTGCAGTCCGTCTTCTTCAGCATTAATGCATATCAATGTTTGATTTCTGATGTGTTGGTGACACTTTACTATACAGTTCCATTAATTCATATAAATAATAATCCTTTGATCTTTTAAAATTAGATATAAGATATTAGCGCTCTGGCAGAGCTGTGAGAGAACTGAATGACATTGGCTGATTCTTATAAGGGGGAGGAGTTACTCTGTCCCACCCTCTTTGCCCCACCCCTATTTATGCTTTTTAATTGCATGTTGGGGCTTGATCTGTTCTCCAACAACTTCATGAAATATGAAATCTGTAAATTAACATATTTTTTTACAGTGAATGAACAATATTTCAAGGGCGCAGGGGGTAGCACAATCACCTCACAGCAAGAAGGTCGCTGGTTCGAGTCCCGGCTGGGAGTGTGTGTTTCTGTGTGGAGTTTGCATGTTCTCCCCGTGTTGGTGTGGGTTTCCTCCGGGTGCTCCGGTTTCCCCCACAGTCTGAACACATGCGCTATAGGGGAACTGATCAACTAAGTTGTCCACAGTGTATGTGTGTGAATGGGTGAGAATGGATGTTTCCCAGTACTGGGTTGCAGCTGGAAGAGCATCCACTGTGTAAAACATATGCTGAATAAGTCAGTTCACTCCACTGTGGTGACCCCTGATTAATAAAGGGACTAAGCCGAAAAGAAAACGAATGAATGAATGATCAATATTTCAGTATTTATTAATCTTAGTTAATGAAAACAGTAATTAAAGCGATATAAATTAACACTTAATACATGCCACTCGCAATTGAACTCCATTCTAAAGTGTCACCAATATTTTTGAGTATGTTAATATATTTTGCCTTCATAAACAGTGCATTGTTTTTTATTTTCTGTGTCTGGTCTTTAACCGTCTGTTAAATGTGGTTTGAGTTCAGTTTCGAGTCTGAACACTCAAATCTGGATCAGTTTTCATTATAAAGTGTCATGATGAGGCCTGCGAGTGTGTTTGCACAAACCCTAAAGCTTCTCTTTCTGCTTTTGCTCTTGAATTATTATTGAAATGAGGGATGTGCTCGTGAATGATTTGCTTTAATGAGAGTGAGATGTGAACTGATATCAGAGTGAATGTAAACAGAGGATCTGTACGCTTCACAGCAGTACTCGGGAAAATACCAATCAATGATACGAACTGCGTTAATGAGGCGTTTGTTGTGATGTTTAGTGTAAAATGCGAGACTTTGGCTTTATTTAGATTATTGGTGAGTTTTTTACACAATGAGTTTCTATGAGGATGGGTGTTTTTTGTCTTCTGATTAAAGATTATGTTAATATTACATGTTTGGTTGTTGTTTTATTATGTACTGTATTAAAATATAATCTATGTAACATAATGAATATATATATAACTCATTTTTTCTTGCATAAACTGACATTTTCAGGTGAAAAAATGTAAAACACTGATATTTTTTCCAGCTAAAAAGTGAATATTAAAGTAAAATGAAATTATTCCGGTTTCCCCCACAGTCCAAACACATGTGCTATAGGAGAACTGATCAACTACACTGGCTGGAGTGTAAGAGTGTGTGGATGTTTCCCAGCTGTGTAAAGCATACACATATGGATAAGTTGATGGTTCATTCCACTGTGGCGACCCCTGATTATTAAAGAGACTAAGCCGAAAAGAAAATGGGTGAATTTTAAACATTAAAAACAAATATAACATATTCAATATATATATATATATATATATATATATATATATATATTTTTTTTTTTTTTTTTTTTTTTTTTTTGCGTAATCCTCCACTTTAAAAAAAATCTGCTGTAAATCAATGTTTATGCAAGAAAATTTTTTTTTTCTCTGACATGAGCATTTATGAGCAATCATGGGTTATAATTATCAGTTTAAAGGAAACTCCTGCAATCGAGTTATTCTGACTGATTCTCAGTTTACCGATATTCTGATCAATATTTAAATTTGGGCAAGCCTATGTTCTGAATATATAAATATTAATTAGTTTATATTCAGATAAAAATATATATAATCTAGGTATTTTGATGTTTAATAAAAATATGTTTACAGTTTCACCGAGAGTTAAAAATGTTAAACATGCGATTGGCGGGAGCGCGCTCGGAGCTCGTCACCGGAAGTTGTGAGCGAGAGTTGAGTTCGGTTTACGGAGCGGTAAAATAACGGCAGAACGGATTTTCTGTGGGACAAACGCACCGGCGTCGCTGCTCAAGCGGTAAATCTCGTCGGTTTATTGATTAAGTGTCCGGTTGAGATGACCGGGGTTGCTTGTTTGTGTGTGTTTGAGAGCCGCTAATAGTGTTAGCACGACCGGCTAACCGCTTCCCTCACAAACACACACACACTGGTTTTAAATTACCTCAGATTCATTCAGTTACATTACTGATCGATATGTTTGTCCTGTGGATTGAATTAATCAAAGACTAACAGCTTTAAATTTATATTTATACATCTGCTGATCAGTTTATCGCTATCAAACCGTGTTTATTAAATTATTCAGGATTTATGATTAGCAAAACAACACCGCCGGGACACTGAGAACGGTGTAGGGAGCGAAAACATTTGATGAGATAAGTTTTTCTGCCCTTTAAATGTGTTTTTTTTTCATTCTGATGCACTAATACGCGTTTGTTTATGTAAATAAGTAAAAAAAATGTCCAGTTGTGCTTTTGGGAACAAATTACATGAACAAAAGTCACTTTATGTACACAGAAAGCATATAAAGTTTCTACTTTAGTGTTTTAAATATTAAATCAGGTTATTCAGCATTGCTTAATGTATATGAGCAAATCTCATGCGAAACCGTTTCTAAGTTGCGTTTATTGTGTGTGAGCAGGGTCTAACAGTACTTTATAAATGCTCAAATGTAATTGTCAATGTTTTTAAACAGATTTGTATTTGTTTACCAAATTCAAATGAGTGGCAATTTCACATCTGTCCCATCCATAACGGAGAGATGTCACATCCATAACAAAGCTTTTTCCTCATAAATGCAAAATTATAAAATAAAATTAAATTAATCATGTTTGTTCTATAGTCAGCCGACACTTATCCTTTTGACTAGCGTTATTTATTTTGGGTTGTGCCGTTGAATTCACAGAATTTCTACAAAGTACATTGTGTACAAACTAGCAGACGTTTTTGGTCACATCCATAACACATGTTTATTTTCCTTATTTAAAATACAAAACATGTTTACAGATTGACATTTCTGGTCTTTTAACTCTGTGGTCAGTTGTTCTGGAAAATATAAACAGAATTTCAATATAATGTTAACATATAGAGTTGAAATCAGAGTTACTAGCCCCCTTTGATTTTTTTCCTTTTTTTAATATATTTTCCAAATGATGTTGAACAGATTGAGGAAATGTTCACATTATGTCTAAAAATATTTTTTCTTCTGGAAAAAGTCTTATTTGTTTTATTTCGGCTAGAATAAAAGCAGTTTTTAATTTTTTTAAAAACATTTTAAGGTCAATATTATTAGCCCCTTTAGGCTATATTTTTCCTTGATAGTCTCCAGAACAAACCATCATTATACAATAACTTGCCTAATTACCCTAACCTGTTTTAGTTACCCTAATTACCCTAGTGAAGCCTTTAAATGCCACTTTAAGCTGTATAGAAGTGTCTTGAAGAATATCTAGTCTAATATTATTTACTGTCATCATGACAAAGAGAAAATAAATCAGTTATTAGAGATGAGTTATTAACACTATGATGTGTATAAATGTTGAAAAAAATCTCTCCGTCAAACAGACATTGGGGAAAAAATAAACAAGCGGTCTGATAATTCAGGGGGGCTAATAATTCTGACTTCAACTGTACTTTCTCTGTCAATTTATGTTTTGAGTTTTTACTGCAAATGTCACATCCATTTTTAGCTGCACTTATTTAGAAATAGCTGATTGTAGTGTTACTAAATGTGATATGAAAAACATGTTGTTGTGTGTAAAATCTAGTGTTTTGAAGGATAGTAGCAAAGAATGATTTCAGATGGGAATTAATGAGTATTTTCGGGCCATAATGGTGCTACTTGAATATACTTTTAACATGTCAGAAAATATTTTTCTTTTAAAGAGCCCATATTATGGGTTTTTGAAAATTCCCCTCCATGTAGTGTGTAACACAGCTCTAAGTGAAGTGAAGTATCCAGCTAAGGCTTAAATCTGTAAGAATACAGTGTTTAAAACTGTTGATTCATCTATAAAAGAGTCGAATCATAGTGCTTCAAACGAGTCGCCTTGATACCGACTCATTAGGTGTTTCGCCATGACGTACGAACGAAACAAAGTTTTTCACGTGCACGCGCAAACCCGGGAGATTTCAAACCTGAGGCCCCGCCCTCTGACGCAGTAACCCAGACACACACACACACACACACCCACAAACACACGCACACAAACATGCCGGTCGATTGAAGTCACACTGCAGATGGATATATTGAGTCTCTACCCAAAGATGAAACCTCAGCATTATAACCAAGCAGTTGGAAACTTCTGGAAGCTACATGCTACAAAGAATACTTCATCTGAGTTTGTTAAAGGAAGGATCAGTAAAGAGTAACTGATGGACGTCAGGATGGGTTTCTTCCTACATTTCTCAAGTGTAAGTACGTGCGGTTAAAGTTGTTGCCTCGTTTACTCTAGCTTGCAAATGTATTTAGTTGTGATTTGTTACTTGTAACCGCGTGTACTGTATCAGGTTAACTGGATATATTATCTTATCGCGTGCAAAGTCACGTTAAAAACGCGACGCGTGCTGTTTGTTTATGGAGCTCCGTGCTAGAGTTCTGCTCCCGCGATTTATTCGGAAATGTATTCCCGCGCCGCAGAAATCTGGCGCGGGGAGAGAGAGAGAGAGAGAGAGAGAAAGAGCGAGAGAGAGAGCGAACGAACGAACGAGCTCTGTGTACTTTGTGCTGTGTGTGTACAGACAGCTTGGCTGTCTGGACTGTATACTGGGTGATATTTGGTTGTGTTCTCCGCTCTAGCGGGACCGGGCGCGGCGGGCAGAAAACGGAGCGGGTTCTCAGGCTAAAACCTGGCGGGTGCGGGCTGAAGCGGGAGCGTTGTCATCCGGAGGTGTGTGTGTTTTTGTGTGTGTGTGGTATGGCGAGTACACGACTGTCTCTTTCGTTCGGTTATCCGTGGCACTATCCACTCGCCATAGTGTGGCAGCTAAAGTCCACGCCTACACTATCGAGCGTGTATGAACTGTGATTACTTTTTAAATTGCTGATTAGCTATTGGCCATTTCCCTCTCTGACTGAAGGCAGTCGACCAATCGCGACAGACTGTCATCGGTCCAATCAGCGCAGATTAGCTCCGCGCTAAGGAGGGGTTTGGGAACAAATGAATCACTGGACGATTCATACAGGAGTCGCTGGGATAATTAGATAAAAATAAATGCAGATTATAAGACCATGAAAGTGTTTTTTGACCTTGCATGCATATTAGACTGTTGTTGGAGACCCTTACAACCAAGATATGACCTTATTTCATGTATAATATGGGCTCTTTAAATGTGTAGCAGATGATTTATAGACATAAAACTACTGTTATGTATTCTGAAAATACAGGGTAAATGTATGATAGTCAATAGTTGTTATGTTTTGCTCAGGAAAAGTCAAATTAAGACACAAATCAAATCACTTTAATTGTCACATCAGCAGCAGCAGCAGCGCGTGTGCTATGAGTGAAAAGCTTAGGTGCTGGCTTCAGTCAGTGCAACACATTTAGTGTGTTGTGGAAAAGTGAAAGCTGGGTTCTTTTTTTAATTATTAGATGCTCAAAACTCCTCATCTTTGTCCCATATGCACACATGCAGTATAACGTTTTATATATTTATGCTTCATTAAGTTTAGCTGTAAGTCAAGATCAGGCTCTTGACCGCTCTGTTTTTGTTTCTGCTGTCTTTCAAAGGTTGTGAGAAAAACATCAGAAGACTAACCTGTAAGACTAGTCAGAGAAGTACCTGGAAGACTAAACTGTGCATGATCTATAATGTTTCTAGATTTGTTACTTTTTCATGTAAAACTATGCTGGAATGCAAAGAAAAAAGAAAACAAGCTGTAGATTTTAAGCATTCATGCATGCAGGAATTATAAAGTTTGTAGCAACAGATTTACTGTATTTAATTATTTATATGAACTTTAGGCTGCACGGTATTGGAAAACGTTGACATTGCAGTATAATTTCACCAGTTAACTGGAATTGTTCTATTTGGAATGAATTCATAATTAATAACCGTTTTTAAGGTGTACAGAGTATTGGAAAAGTCAAGGTTTTAAAACTGCCAAAATTGTCTGCTATATCGTTCTGTAGGTGTGTAAAAAAATGTTTTTTTGTTGTTGTTTTTTGTTTTTGGGACAACAGTATCTCCAGCAGAAAAGATATCCAAAGATGCTGTTTTAAATTGTAAAGAAATCTGTGTTTTTGAAACTAATGTTGACAGCAGAAATCAGTGTTTGATTTGAATTATTTAATCTGACATGTTTACTGCTCCAAAATACTTTAAATGTTTCTCAAAATAAAATATATTGTGTTTAAATGGGGAAAAGGCTTTTGTTTTTTTACCCAGACATTGAAAAAGACTATATTTTATAGAAGTAATCACAATACCATGCTACTGTGATATTTTTATCCAAAATAATCACACCGTCAGAATCTTATACTGGCCCATGCCTATAGAGCACCTGCTAAAATATAAAAAAACAATCAGAAGTATTGATCAATGTGAAAACAGAAGTGCTTTATCAATGCATAATATCTGCATAATATATCATCTATAATGCATAAGAATTGATTATGTGGTAACGTTGGGCTTGTTTTTGAGCTTGTGTTGTGTATATTTGTCTTTAAATCTGATTATTCAATCTCTGCTCTTCAATTCTGATAGACTAAACCAGAAAGCATTGTTGATTTCATTTCTGTGTATTTCCGGGGTTTTTTATCTGGATGGGTAAATCATGAGTTAATTTTTATGCAGATGCACAGCCCTACAAAATCATATCTATTTATTTATATTTTTACAATTTAGAGCTTTAGTGTTGTCACAATAACCTGTTTCAAGGTAAACAAACCACGGTTCATTTTCTGATGGTTAGCTTTACAGGGTTCATATGGTCATGAAAAACCATGACAAAAGTCATGTAATGTTAACAAGGCATTTCCAGGCCTGGAACAAAACCTGAAAAACCCACAAAATTTTGGAAACGTCATGGAAATATCTGTATACTTATATTTGGGTCAGTTGTCTTCTTCTGTCCATGGCCAGACACGTGCTTTGACATTATTAGTGCTGTGCGAGCATTATCTGAATAAATTTTACACATAAATAAAGATTAATTTACACTAAACAGATTGTCGCATGTTTTATGATATGCTGTAATGAAGGTGCATTGCTTTTCTTATTATTTACCACATATACATAGACATTACATGAAACATTAGGTCAGTTGAAAGTCCTGGAAAAGTCATTCAATTTTAGTGGTAAAAATGTGTATGAACCCTGGTACCAGCATTTCAGATTGTGATTATAATTAAAACCACAATTTATTATTAAAATTGTTATAACTGTGTCTGTGATTGGCTTTTATACACTTTTTATAGCTCTGTTGCATTCAGTCACAAGATCTTCAAAGAAAAATCTCATTAATCAATCGATTACAGTGGTAGATTAATATTAGAATAGATTATTATTTGTAGGCCTGTCTCTATATTGCACCAAAATATGTAGTCATAAACGATATTAATGTCATTTTAAGACTATTTTTTGCCACTCATTATTTAATGCCAAAGAAACGCATCATATTTTATTCATAAGAATATTTCATTTAATTGGAGTCATTTTAACAGTTTAATAATGCGGCATTAGAATCAGAATGTGAAAATGCAAATTTTCCAAATGTATAATAATAAATGTTTACAAAAAAAGTGCAAGGTAAAGAGTAACAGAGGCTGCGATATCTACTACCAGATCTATTATCAGCTGTCAGACACACACATAAAGATATACAATAGTAATTTATAGTAAATACTACAGTGTTAATAAACCATTCTGACACTTACAGCTCCAGTAGAGATGTTGAGCAATCAGCTGAAATGTTGCTAGAATTGGTGTTTATGCATAGGTGTGTGATATATATTGCATCACCAAAAATGATTGAGGTCATGGCCACATGTGTGATAAGTCCATATATTGATTATTGTGACTGGCCTATTTTTTTTATATTTACTTTTTATTATTATTATTATTTAATATGGGTTTGATATCTTCTTTTGTAGTGCTTTGGGTTTAAGAAAAGCGCATTGCAAATAAAAAGCATCATTATTAATTTTTATTAATAACAATAATAATAACAATAATAAATAGCTGGTCACTATAATCGTGATTTACATGTTTCAAACTGTTACATCTATAATTGTAATATATAGAGCAAGAACATCAAGAGTGTCTGTGTGTGTTGTGTTCAGATGCCTCACTCTCGGCGGTACCCGTCATCGGAGCGGACCCGCAGCCGGAGCAGGAGCCGTCACATGCGGTATGAGCGGCACCGTCGCAGACGACGCAGCCGAACACGCAGTCGCAGCCGTTCTATATCATCCCGGAGCAGGAGACGCCATCGGGAGAGACGCCACAGAGACAGCAGCTCCAGGAGGTACGGCTCACTCCTGACAGATACACTGGGGTGCAGGTTATTTCATCTTATTTTCTTTATATAACAGCAGATCACAACACAAATCAGCATGCTGCCACGGTCATGCAATCTCTGCAGTATCATTGAGTTTTAAAGGTCTCTTCCAGACATTGAAAGTCAGGGAAATTCATATTTATTTTCTCCAAGTCATGGAATTTTTGTTGGTCATTTTAATTCCCATTAATTAACATGTGTTTATTTTGTACCATGTGTTATCTTGTTGTTTCACTGTTGCCTGTTGTTATGGTCAGGCTATATTGCACTGTGAATTTATTAGTCGCAGAGTCATAAGGTTCTGGCTGCTTTGGGTCATGGGCATTCAGCATTTAAGTCAGGAAACTCTTTGTCTTTTAGTGGGATCTCAGTTTAAGTTTCCTTCCTCAGAACAGGTCTCTGCTTTGTTCTTATATTAAACTTATGTACATGATTTTATTTATTTTCTGTCCACTCTCTATATGGTGTGAGGTGAAATTCATACATCTGTATAGTGTTTATACTGTTCTGTTCTAATCTGCAGATTAAGTGCATTTAAAGTATAAATTAAATTGCAAAGTCAAAGTATAAACAGCAGAGGTCAACCAATAGATTTTCCCTACCAGTAAATATTAATCTGAGCAAAAGAAGCCAACACTAAATATGAAAGCAGACACTAATACACTATAACACCATCATCCATCTCTGAGGAATATCCACAAGATAAAGGTAAACATGGCTGATTTACAGCTCTGACAGGAACATGTGGGGTTTAAATGACTGAAGAACAGCAGAATATGGAGAGCAAGTGCCCACACTGTACAGCTTATGATCAGATCTCTGTTTTATTCTGTTGATATGAGCAGATTGTGCTGTGATTATATGGAGATCTCAGTGTAGCTGCCTTTATGGCTTATTTTTAATTTGCTCACCAGGTTTCAGCACAGGTCACATGACTGAAATCTGTTAATTGTGTGTGTGTGTGTGTGTGTGTGTGTGTGTGTGTGTGTGTGTGTGTGTGTGTGTGTGTGTGTGTGTGTGTGTGTGTGTGTGTGTGTGTGTGTGTGTGTGTGTGTCTGTGTGTCTGTCTGTGTGTCTGTCTGTGTGTCTGTCTGTGTGTCTGTCTGTCTGTCTGTGTGTCTGTCTGTCTGTCTGTCTGTCTGACAGATCCAGCTACCAGCAGCCATCCGGCGAGCGCAGGAGGAGCAGCAGACGCTACTGTCGGGACGAGCGGGAGGAGTTTGACCGAGACTACACCTTCACAGACGGATATTTCAGACACACACGCTCTCGAGATCACCGTACAGAGAGAGACAGCGGACGCAGACGGAGACGCCGCAGAACCAGGACCAGAACTCGATCCAGAACACGCTCATACAGCCAGAGCCGGTCCATATCATCAGTAAGTACCACAACCATCCACAAACACACTGACACACAGTAAAGGGTTAGTTCACGCAATAATGAACATTCAGCTTGGAATCGCTCTCACAAGTGTCATGTGCTGACCTGATTTGTTCTGGGCTATAGACAGCAAGGGAACCAAAAACAAGTCCAAACACTCCATGTGTCTTCAGAGGTTCAGCTGTAATCATATGAAGCTCCAAGAATACTTTAAGAAACGCATCATGTTGTCAGGGTCTATGTTTACTTTAGCGGCAGGATACTGGGAAAGCCTGAGATATTGCTGTTGAGTGTTATAATAATAATATTTCTTATGATATTGCTAACTTTAAAACACTGCTAAAAACAATCATTTATGTAATAATCATTACAACATAAACAGATTATAGATGTTTTTCTGATCTAATTAGATCTTTAAAAAACTATGTCAAGGTATAAAGATTTAGACTTTAAAACACTCTAATGACTGAAAACCTCTGCGGATATTCTGATTTTACTGGCTGTTGTGAATCTCCGCTCTCGTCTCCCAGCATTCATGTTTACTACCAGCCCTTGGTTCAACTACTGAAGAGGCGGAGATGAAGATATTAAAGGCTTCGTCTGATTGGTCAGATTTGAATAAAGAAACTGTGCATGCAGCAAACATATGCTTAGTACATAAAGTGAATGCATGTCACTGCGATGTGAATACTGCACATATACTATTACTGTAAATAATAATACATGTACTATTATTGCAATAACAATGGTGTTTACTGTGGGGCTGTATGTATGTTTACAGACACTCCCATTCAATCCTCATGTTTGCATGTCCACAACACATCATCTCAGAGACACTGCAGAAGTTAAACCCCTTTGTTTTTAGTGCTTTGTAGGCTGCAGCTTCAGAAGCGACCCTCAGTGGCTGCACTGTAAATACGACAAGTTAGTCCTTTTTAGGTAATTTTAACTTATTTAACTAAGTTAGTCATGTTCTGAGTAAATTTTATAAGTTACACAAGCTGTTTGCAGTCAGTTTAACACATTATTGACCACAGGAGAAATGGTTGTGCCCAACTGAGCCTGCTTCTCTCCTGGTTTTTTAATCCTTTACTTTCGCCAATTGGTGAAGTTTGTTCCTCCGCTGTCGCCACTGGCTTGCATGGTTTGGGATCTGTAGAGCTGTGCATAGATGGATTTGCTCTTCAGTGTTTGGACTCTCAGTAGTGATTATTAACCACACTGAACTGAGCTGAACTGAACTTAAACACTGAAAACTGAACTGACATGGTTACAATTTATGATAATGTTCTATGTGAAGCTGCTTTGACACAATCTACATTGTAAAAGTGCTATACAAATAAAGCTGAATTGAATTATAAGTTCTATAAACTTATAAGGTTAATTTGATTCAGCTTAAAAATTTCAGGCTACCAGGATTTATTTTACAGTGTAGGATTCTGAACAGGAGCATGTGAGCCCTGTTTTTGAAGAATTGCCCTGGCTTGCTAGCAGTTTTAGAGTGGATTTTTCAAATAGTATACTTAAAAGACTTGATTGGCCTGCCACTGCAATATTTTTATGACCTTTTAATTTTTTTACACACCTCAATATGTTTTATGATGCTTGTCTGATGCTGGTCTTTTGTCTGTTCAGTCAACGCAGGTTAATATCTGTGTGGGATCGGCCATTCTCCTCATTGGCACATAACATGAAATATTCTCTGCCCTCTGATATTACAAATGCAGAATGTGCTTTTAAATCACTTAAAACCTTTGTAGGGTAGCCATTATGGGAAATATGATGCCAAATGTTTCTGTTTATATGGTCTTGGCCTTGCTTTTTTTCTCTCTAGTTTTTATGCATGTATTAGGGATGCTCCAATACTCTATATATCATTGAGTCATCCTGTACAACCTCTACACTTCAACACATTTATGAAAATTGTGCTTTTTTTGCTTTTGCAATAATATTTAGCCTTTCCAGCTTGCTTAAATAACTCTCTGAAGTGACTCTGTGCTTGTTAGAATGTGTGTCAATGTGCTGAAACAGCTCTCCGCGAGTAAATGTCCATCAGTGAGCACTAAAGTAGGAGACACATTCACAGCCAGATTGCATGCTGCTGGGATCTTGGTGTCATCTCGTGTTGTTGGGACACGGTGTTTTACTTTTATATGCACGTAAAGTGCTTTGGCATACTACTTTTAAAGGTGCTATATAAAATAAAGGTTATTATTATTAGTATTGGAGTCAGCAACGTAACACAAGTGTTGTACTGCCCTGAGTAAACACTCTTTCCTGACGCCAAAGACAGTGGTGGACAGAGTTGTGTGTTGTGTTTTTGGTGCGCCAAAGTGAGCTTCATATGATTACAGCTGAAGACACGTGGAATGTTTTTACAGTGTTTTGGGTTCCTTTTCTGGACTTTCAGCATCACATGAGCCAGATAAAGTGAAGTCAGAAGGGTATGGAGAGTAAATGGTGAGTAAATCTTCATTTTTGTGTGAACTATTCCTCTTAACACACTGATGCTTCTGTTCTGATCATGTTTGACTGCATATTTACAGCAGGCTGAATGAATCCAGTCGGCTTTCAGAGTTTGAAAAGTCAGTTTTGGTGAACTGTACCATTTTATACACTCGAATGTTCAGATATATCATGTAAACCTCCATGCATCAATCACCACACATAGGCTGCATCTACACTGCAGATCTTGATGGTCAATTCTGATTTTGTGACTGTATTTGATGTTTTTTGCTGACCTGCTTACATCATCTTTTAAAAGTGACTCATATCTGATTGTCTGCATTCACACAGCACATGGCAGAGGTGCAATGACCAGGAAAAAAAGAGCGGGCGCTGACTGACAGCCGATAATAAAAGAGCGCCCTTTCTCCATTCCTGTATTTAATCTCTTTGCAGGGTTTCATTTAAAAAAAATCTCTTTGACAAGCTGTTTTATTGTAGATTATGACAGAATAGTTCTCGTTTGGCTGTCTTCTTTTAATCTAGACCTTTTTAAACCAGTAGGCATGTGTCGTATGCCACAGTTTTATATTAGTTTATATTGGTTACATATTGCTCTGTCTGTCTCGTTAACATGCTTAAATACTTGTGCTATATGACAATATTAAAGCATTTTTTAGTCCTTGGGCTGAAGTCTGTTCTGAAATAAAGCGTCAGTGTTGACGTCATTCGCTATGGTTTTTAATGACTCGCGACTCGCATTGACAAGTCAAAATCTGATCTACCTGCCTACACTGCAGACACGAGGACACAGACTTGATTCATATTGGATAAATTTCCACTTATAAACAAGGCCTGATTTAAGGGGGAAAAATCCATGTGATTAAAAAAAAAAAATGCTGCTTACATGCACATGAGCGAATCGGGTCTGTGCCACATGGCAGAAAAAAATCTGAATTGAGTCACTTGAACCATGCAGTGTACGTGCAGCCTTAGACGCACAGAAGACTGTATGTCACAACGTCTAAATATTTATATTAATACACAATATACACAATCCCTTTGTGCTGTGAAAGAGCTGGGAACATGTGCAGTGTATGGTTTTTAGATGAATTATCACTTTAACTCATTCTGTGTTCATCCAGTCTAATTAAAGATGCTCAGTTTTGCTGCTTTTAAAGGTCAAATGTGGAAAATAAATATAGAATTTGACATTAAAACAATTAAGATAAACCACTATAGTTGCACTAATCATCTTATTTAAATAAGCCTGTAAATAATTATTATATTAAATAGTTTTTTAGTTTGATGAGCATGTAGATGTAATAGTTTCTGTCTGTATTGAGCTGGTGGTTTGTTTAATCTCAGGTTATGTCCGTGAGCAGACCTTACAGTCAGTGTAGGCCAGCAGTTATTATCAGCAGGACTTCATGTTCATCCAGAGTTCAGAATGTCTGTGTTACATTATAGTGATTAATGGCTGAATACACACTCTAAAATGAGGGATTATTACTGTCTGTGCTTTCTGCTGTGTGTGTGTGTGTGCGTGTGTTTACATGCGTTTATAAATGTTTGTGTGTTGGGATTCAGTTTTGTGTGTGTGCGCGTTTATTTATGTGTGTATGTTTGCATTTGCATGTTTGGGTTCTGTTTTGTGTGTGTTTTTGCATGTATATGTGTTTGTTTGAGTGTAGGGATGCATTATTCTGTGTGTGTGTGTGGGGGGGGGGCTTCAGGGTTGTGTGTGTGTTTATATGTGTTTTCTTTTGTGTATTATGGTTCAGTTTTGTTTGTGTGTACTTTGTTTGTATGTTTGTGGGTTGAAGATCAGGGTTGTGTGTGTGTGTGTGTCTCTGTGTGTGTGTTTGTTGGGGTCCAGTGTTATGTGTGTGTGGATGTTCAGTTTTGTGTGTGTTTGAATCTGTTTTTATGTTTGTTTGTGTGTTGAGTTTCAGGGTCGTTTGTGTGCTGGGGTTCAGGTGTGTGTGCGTACGTGCATGCTTGTGCGTGTTTGTGTTTGGGGGTTCAGTGTTGTGTGTGTTAGTCTGTGTGTTGGGGTTCAGGGATGTGTGTGTGTGTAATGAGATCTCTTGGTCTTGGCACTTCAGACTCTTCGATTGGGGTCTCAGGATTTCCCCAGGGGCCTTCAGGAGCGTTTAAAATTAGCCTGAGTCTCATCTCTCTCTTACAGACACACACACACACACACACACACACACACACAGTCTCCCGTTCTTCCAGATTTTCTCCCCTCTCTCTCTCTCTCTCTCTGTGGTGTGAATGTGTGTGTTTGTCAGTGGTTATGGGTAAGACAGAGTTGTTCTCTGTGTTTAAGAGCGTGTTGGACTGCCTCTGCCTGTGTGTGAGTATCCTTCATGCACTGTGTGTGTGTGTGTGTGTGTTTAGTAGTTTATTTTAAGTGTAAACATTTTCTCCAACACTGATTGAGCAAATATGATAAAAGAGAACAGTTTTAGTGATGTGCTCGCAGTAAAACAGTCTGCATGCTGTTGCTCAGAGTGTTTAGCTCTTGTCCTGGTTTTGATCAGCAGTTATAATGATCTCGATATGAAACATACGTCAGTAGTTCTCTGACACACGTTTTGATTTATTATATTGTTTCACAGTGGTTTTAGCTTCACATTATTAGAATGTTTATATTGTGTGCGCGTGTGTGTGTGTGCCTGCGTATGAATGTAAGTATGTGCGTGTGTGACCTCATTCTGGAGTGTCTGCTGTGTCTGTCTGTCTGTCTGTCTGGGGTCACAGAAACCACCTCCTCATGTCTGTGTGCTTCATCTGTGAAATAATAATAATGCTAATCTAGTGTAATCTGTGCAGTCTGATAAACAGGAGATAGACAGATAGACAGTAGATTAGTCTGTACCAGACAAAACTGATCAACTCATCTAACGGAAAAACAATGGAAGATCACAGTGCAAACATTACACACACAAATAATATTATAGATCAAAATATAACTTTAATAAACAGGAGCAATCGAGAGAAACATTCAAATCTGTATATAGTTTAGCTGAATGTAGTAGTTTGTCATTTTGTCTGATCTTTCTACTCCTGAAGATGATCAAACTCTTATTTTAATAGACAGAACTGTTCAGTAAAGCTCTCCTGTTTACATTCAACACTAATTATTGCCTATATTCACTGAGACATGGATTCAGATATCAATGTTCAATGGTGTGTGTGCTCATTTATGCGGAGCGCTGTGTGTGTTGTGTGTAAATGCACCTCACTGTGCTGTGAGTGCTTGTAAAGCGTGATCTGTGTGTGTGTGTGTTCAGCTGTAGATGATGTTTCTGTGTGTGTGTGTGTGTGTGTGTTCTGCAGAAAGCGTGGGCGGTTAAAGACGATGAGGAGGGTCATCTGATCTATCGGGCCGGTGATGTGCTGCAGGACAGATGTGTGTTTCTCATCACCACACACACTAATAGGCATTCGCTGTTCTACTGTGTGTGTTTGTGTGACGCTTGTGTTTTCTGTGCAGACGAGATCACACAGACGCTCGGAGAGGGAACCTTCGGGAAAGTGGTGGAGTGTGTGGATCATCAGAGGTGAGTCTCACACACATACGCCCCATTCACATGGGGCTTCAGCGTCAACGCTTGACTGAAGGCGTGTCTGAAGTTGGGGCTGAAGCGATCGTCATAGCAGCGTCAGCCAATGAAATTCAGTCAGTTATAATGATCTCTATATGAAACAGAGGCCACTGTCTAGCTGGTGTATTTGCATTCAGCGATTTGATTGGTTCCGTCAGCGCTTGAAAAGTTGAGCTAGTCCCAACTTCTGCAGTGAGCTACACCGCTGAAGCGGCGCTGACGGATCCACAATGCAGTTCGCCAGCGCCTGAAGTCACCCATTCAAAGCAAATGGGAAGCGTTGACGCTGAAGCCCCCTGTGAATGGGGCGACACACACACACACAGACACACACACTTACCTTTTTGTCGGGTGATTGTCTAGATGGTTCATTGTGTGTTTGTGTGGTTCTATGCATTTGTCTGTGTGCATGTGCATTTGTGGGTGTGTGTATGGTGTGCATGCATGTGTTTGTCTATGTCTGTGTGCATGCATGTGTTTATTGGCACATGTGATGCATGTGTGTTTGCATGCATGTGCTGGTGTTTGTGTTTTTGCTTGTGTGTTTGTTTATGTGTGTATGTGTGCTCATGTTTGTGTGTGTGTTTATGCATGCATGTCTTTGTGTGTTTGTGTGTGTTTATGCGGGCAAATATGTGTGTATGTGCTCATGTTGTGTGTGTGTGTGACAGGGGAGGCTCTCGCATCGCTCTAAAGATCATTAAGAATGTGGAGAAATATAAAGAAGCAGCCCGACTGGAGATCAACGTGCTGGAGAAGATCAACCAGAGAGATCCAGAAAACAAGAAGTAAGAGCTGTTCATTGATGATGTTTGAGTCGTGACCTCAAAATGCACGTGCGTGAAGGCACATTCACACCAAACACATTGAAAAAGACGTCCTTTTAGACATCGCAGAGCCTGCAGTACAACTATAGCAGTCATGAACAGAGGAGGTGTGTGTGTTAAGACAGCGTCAGCACCTGTCAGCTTTAATTGTGGAGAAAACTGGATAATTTCAGCTTTTGTCAGCTCATTTCATCTTCTGGCTTTAAAATCATTATTGGGGCGGATCATCATCAGTGGTGTAGCGTGTGTCCGCTAGTGGAGTGATGACGCGTCAGTTTCTCATTATTATTCATAGTGGAGAGTTTACTTATCCTATGAGGAGAGCCTGCTGCTGAATTATTCATAAGAGCACATGCTTTCTGAAGGCAGGGCAGACCTGCCAAACTCTGATACCCAATGACTGTGTGAGACGGCACAGTTCATATGTGTTTGTTTCCATGATCCATGGTGTTTGTTGCATGGCTTTTCCCTGTGATGCGGTCAGGTCTGATACAGTAAAGCTGGTTTGCTGCAAGCATTTCTGTCAGGAGAGCTGTGGGAGAGTTGGAGAATGGCAGACTTTGTCTTTTATCAGTTGAGTTTGTTCCCATTCAGACACATCTCCTATACCTGTGCTGCTGTGTTCACACCTGTGCTCCTCCAGATTAGCGGCAGGGCTAATGGCTGGAATAGACAGGGCAGGAGACCTGCTGGACTGCTCCATTGTGTCTGCGTTCACACCCAGGGTTCAGGAGGAGAGAAGTCCTCCTCATTTATAAGCCCCTTTCACACATGCAGACCTTTCCGGAAAATTACCGGCAATTTTCCGGAAAGGTGTGTATGTGTGAACAGGCCCTTTTTGAAAATACCGGTAAATTCGTTCTGGCTATTTTCCGGAAAGAGAAGTTGTAACATTACCGGCAATTTGCCGGAATGCTGCGCTGTGTGAATGCAGAAGGAAGATTGCCGTAATAAGCGCGTCCACGTCTAGAACGGGCTGACGTGAGACACCTGCTTTAGCCAATCACAACAGTCAGACGCATTCACGTGCGCGCGGTTTATGACAATAAAAGCCTTTGAATAATTTTTTCAACCACCTTTAGCTGCTAGATGTTAGTCAGATAATGTTTTTATGTTCCTTTTTAATGCTGTGTAAATAATTATCGATAAAATGTTCATGATAATCCGTTGTTTGTTTACCTTCAAGCTTTGCGTGTGGCCATGAGCGCCCATAGCGCCAGCACACACACATATCAAAGTGTTTCTCTATGTTTTCATTAGAGTTGTACTCAATACTGATCCACCCGAAGAGTTTGTAATGTAGTCAAATGTTTACAAACACAAGCGCAGCCGTTTAGAGGTCATTTCTGGTTAATGATGTCAGAATTTACCGGCATTTTGCGATGGATGTGTGAATGATCTTTTCCGGAAAAATTCCGTAACGTCCTCGTCTGTGTGAACAGCGGTTTTGAATATACCGGTAAAGTAGTTCCGGAAATTTTCCGGATATTTACCGGTATCACTGTGTGAAAGGGACTATTGTCTTAACATGATTGTCTTTATGATGATAGAACACATTGTGGTTTTGTGTATATATGATATATAATGATTAACACATGTAGCAGGGCATTAAACTACTGTTTACTTGTTTGCGTTGTAACTTTGTAAACTGTAAAATCCTGCGTCTCCTCATGGTTGTGTCTCATTTTCTGTGCTGACTGACAGTCTCTCCCCTGCTCTGCTGGCCACGCCCACTCCTCCCTCTGCTCAGAGCTCCGCCCATCATGCAGCATCTTTGGGGAATATTCTGAGCTAGACTTGAACTGAAAGAGGAGGTTTATGACCCTTTAAAGAGATGAACCATTCCTCTTCATTTACTCGCACTCAAGGGGTTTTAAACAGTTATTTAGTTTTATATATTTAGTTTCCCCTGTTGAACACAAACAAGATATCCTGGAGAAAACTGGAGAAAACTGCCATTGACATCTATTGTAGGAATGAAAAATACTATGAAAGTCAGCGGCTGTTTTCCAGCATTCTTCAAAACATCTTCAGTATAGTTTTCATTTTAGGTGAACTGTGCTGTTAACTCATCTGGAACACTTGTGCTACAGCCTGCAGATCTCTGTAATGTTCATTTAGATACCTACATGTTTACATCATGTCTCTCGTTTTGAGCTTATAAATAGAAAAAGTGTAATCTGGAGTTGCAACATTAATATATGTGTGTGTGTGTCTGTGTCTGTGTGTGTGTGTGTGTGTGTGTGTGTGTGTGTGTGTGTGTGTGTGTGTGTGTGTGTGTGTGTGTGTGTGTGTGTGTGTGTGTGTGTGTGTGTCTGTGTCTGTGTCTGTCTCAGTCTGTGTGTGCAGATGTTGGACTGGTTCGATTATCACGGCCACATGTGTCTGAGTTTCGAGCTGCTGGGTCTCAGTACCTTCGACTTCATGAAGGAGAATAATTACCTGCCGTACTCCATCAGTCAGGTCAGACACATGGCCTACCAGATCTGCCTCGCTGTCAAGTGTGAGTTTACACACACACACACACACACCATACACTCTCACACGCACACACACACACCATCCACTCTCTCACACACTCCATGCACTCAAATATTAACACACTGCACACACACACCATACACTCTCACACGCACACCATCCACTCTCTCACACACTCCATGCACTCAAATATTAACACACTGCACACACACACACACCATACACTCTTTCACACACTCAATGCACTCATATATTCACGCACCTCACACACACTCAATGCACTCAATCTCACTGTAATCTTGGAATTATTCTAGATTACTCTAGATTAAAATGGTTCTTTTGAATTTTGAATAATTAATGACTAAAAGTAAGTCTTTAAGAACGACTTTCTCAAATCAGGTGGTGCGTTAGACCGGGGCTCATCTCTTTGATTCATTTTTTGTCAGATTTGGTCAGGTTTGACTTTCATTCACCGTCATGCATCTTAAAAAGCACCCGCTCCATTTTATTTGTGTATGTTTTACTGGAGCGCATAAACTCTGCAGGTGCCTGATGGTCAGATGTGGAGCTGACTTTAATCAGACTCACTCTAGTGAACTGCATCCATGTCAGCACGTCACGTTTGATGTGGTCATTTCCAGTAGGAACACACACTGGTTCCAAGACTTGTTCTCGCCACCTATAGTGCAATACAGCCAGGTAAACATCCGCGCTTAAATATCAAGGTGAAAGTCATCATAGCTTGTGTAGAATAGACCCAGCTCCCAACCCAAGAATAGATTAACGATATTTTTTTTTATTGCCTGATATGAGTCTTGCGTCAACACAGCACATTAACACTCATAACAGCCCACCACTAATATATATATTAATATATACACACACACACATGCACACACTCACCAGACACTCTCACACAGACACGCTCTCTGTAAACTCTATATACATTCATATGCACACACCATACACTCAAACACACACATAAACTGTGTGTGTGTGATTTGTTTTGTGATTATGGTCTGTTTCTCTGACAGTTCTCCATGACAACAAGCTGACCCACACTGACCTGAAGCCGGAGAACATCCTGTTTGTGAGCTCAGACTATAGTGTGCTGTACAACGCAGAGAAGGTGAGATCTGAACCAGTGCACATTCCCTTTATATGTGCCTTAAACTCTCACACACACACACACACACACACACACACTATGGAATAAAATCGCTTTCATAAATATTTCATGCATAAATAAAATTCACGCATCTGTTATTATAAAATCGTAAAGGAAATCGGAGCGTACTCGTAATGTTACGAGGGGACAATTCCAAAATCTGCCATTAGAACAGACACAGATACCACATTTTCTTTGTGTGTGTGTGTGTGTGTGTGTGTGTGTGTGTGTGTGTCTCTGCCTCTTTGCATTTCTTTGTCTGTATGTCTTTGTGTTTTTTTCTTGTGTGTGGGTGTGTGTGTGTTTATCTCTCGCTCTAACACTGTCTCTCTATCTCTCTGTGTACAAATGTGTGTATTAATGTGTGTGTTTGTGTGTCAGAAGCGTGACGAGCGCTCCGTGAACAGCACTGCAGTGAGGATTGTGGATTTCGGCAGCGCCACCTTTGACCACGAGCATCACAGCAGCATCGTCTCCACACGACACTACAGAGCGCCAGAGGTCATTCTGGGTAAGAGAGCATATCCAGTGTGTGTGTGTGTGTGTGCGCGTGTGTGTGTGTGTGTGTGACTCTCTGTCTGTGTTTCTGTAGAGCTGGGCTGGAGTCAGCCGTGTGACGTCTGGAGTATCGGCTGTATACTGTTTGAGTTCTACTGCGGATACACACTCTACCAGGTGTGTGTTTATGTGCATGCGTGTGTGTGTGTGTGTGTGCGCGCGCATGCGCGTGTATGTATGTGTGTGTGTGTGTGTATGCGTGCGTGTGTGTCCATGCGTGTGTCTGTGTTCTGTTTGAGTTCGACTATGGATACACACTCTACCACAGGTGTGTTTATATGTGTGTGTGTGTGTGTGTGTGTGTGTGTGTGTGTGTGTGTGTGTGTGCGCGTGTGCGCGTGTGCGCGTGTGCGCGTGTGCGCGTGTGCGCGTGTGCGCGTGTGTGCGTGTGTGCGTGTGTGTGTGTGTGCTCTGTTTAATTTCTGATGGGGATACACACTCTACCAGGTGTGTGTCTATATTTGTGTGTCTGCGTGTTTGTGTTAGTGTGTGTTTTCTGTTTGAATTCTAATGAGAATACACACACTTCCAGGTGTTTATATGTGTGTGTGTGTGTGTTTGTGTCTGTAAGTGTGTGTCTGTAAGTGTGTGTGTGTGTTGTATTTGAGTTCTAATGAGGTTACACACTCTAACAGATGTGTGTTTATGTGCGTGCGTGCGTGCGTGTTCTGTTTGAGTTCTACTGTTGATACACACTCTACTAGGTGTATGTTTATGTGTGTGTGCGTGTGATGTGTGTGTGTGTTCTGTTTGCATTCTAATATGGATACACACTCTATCAGGTGTTTATGAGTGTGTGTGTGTGTGATGTGTGTGCTTTTGCATTCTAATATGGATACACACTCTCCCAGGTGTGTGTGTGTTCTGTTTGAGTTTTACTCTGGATACTCGTTAGTGCATCTGTAATCCATATGTTTCTGTCATACGTGTGTGTGTGTGTCTGTTAGACTCATGACAACAGAGAGCATCTGGCCATGATGGAGCGAATACATGGACCTGTTCCTTCCAGAATGATACGTAAAACGAGGTCAGGAACACTGATTGATTGATTGATTGATTGATTGATTTGCAGATTGATTGATTGATAAATTTTATTGATTGATTAGCTGCTTGAGTGAGTGACTGATTTATTAAATGATTGGTTGATTAACCGATCAGCTGATTGATTGACTAATTGATTGATTTGATTAATTGATTAACTGATTGTCAGTGAGTAGTGTCCAGTGTAATCATGGTTTGACCTTTGCCCTCAGGAAGCAGAAGTACTTCTACAGAGGTCGTCTGGACTGGGATGAGAGCACGTCAGCGGGCCGATACGTCAGAGAGAACTGCAGGCCGCTGAGGGTGAGGGAACACACACTCTCACCTATACTTCATAGTGTGCATGAACACAAGTGCTCTAGCTATACACCTGCGCAGCATACCAATAAAAATAGACTGATAAATAAAATATATATACAAAATGAAGTGTGGTAATTCATATCATGCTCTGTTTATTTCATGATGTCACAAAATACATTGATTACGCTATAGTTTTCATGATTTACATGAGAGCAATATTACACACATTACAGGGATACAGACACAAACAGCATCATGACAACGCTGCAGTGTTTAAAGCGCAGTGTTGACATTCAGCATTTCAGCTAGTGATATTGTGTCATGTTGGACCTGTAATCATTAGCTTGGATTTTGTTTTCAGCAGGGCTCGAAATTGCGACCATCTTGGTTGCATATGCGCCCAAAATTTAAGCTAAGCGACCTCATAATATATGTTTGGGAGCATTCGTGCAACTGCATATAATGGTTGTAGTGTGACCTGTTTTGGTTTTTTTCTTAGAATGTGTTAAATTGCTCTTCCCTGCCGCTATATTGGTTCATATTAGCCGTCAATCACTCAAGACCTTCCGCTGTCAGATGACAGGGAGGGAGCTTTTGTGACCGCGGGGAATGCAAGCGGCTGAAGAGTGAAAAGTACACTGAATCTCGATGTGTTGCATGCACTGCGTGTTCAGCCAACACAATCTCACGGCAATTCGTAACATTTTCATACTTTTCCTCGTGAGATCAGGCTGCAACAGCGCAAATGTCTGCTACAACACCATCGCCAAAGAGGCTCGCCTTTACTGAGTTTAAACTGATGCGGGTTATAACAGAGAACAGTATTGCGCCGGTGATCAAACACAGAAAGATGTAATTCAGCGCGTAACGAGGCTGAGCATTAAAACGACACGAACCGAAACCAAAACTTTTAAAAGTGAGACTTTTCTTCCTTTCTTTTGTCCGTTCTTTCTTGAGGTGTTTATTATTTTTCTATTTAATTACTGATGACTGCTTTACAGCTTTCAGCATTGAATTGAACGATTTATTATATTATTTTGTTTGTTTTGTAGCAGAAATATTATTTATTAAATTGACGTGCATATAAAAACAACAGTACAAAATAAACATTTCTTACTGCAATGCTTCATTTGTGTTTGATGCAAACCATCAATTAATTTTCCATAAAGTAACAGTAAGACTTTATATAGCAGATAACTTACATTAAAGCACATTCAGGGCAGCATGATGATGAGAAATATAATTCATTATTAGTATTATTGTCATCATCATCATCATCATCATTAATATTTTATAATTATTCAACATTCATTTTGGAATTATTGCAAATATTAAGTCATCACAGCATTAGTTAGATAGTTGTTTCTGGGTTTTGTTAGTCCCAATTGATGTTGTTTTCAAACACAATATACAACTTGTCAAATATCAATCATTTTTGGTGGCTGCTCCTAATTTTTTTCTGGTGCTCCTAAATATTTCAGGTCTGGAGCACCGGTGCTACCAAGTAAGAAAGTTAATTTCGAGCCCTGTTTCATGTAATAATAGAAACCCTCATTTCAAAACTGCATGATGTGTTTACTTGCGTTTTCTTTAACTGATATTAAGGATCTGAAATGTTAAAGTGTGACAAACATGCAAAAAAAATAAGAAATCAGTAAGAGGGAAAGACTTGTTCACACCACTGTATATATGATGAGCTGCTGAAATCTGCTCAAGTAGAGTTCTTAGTTTCTGATTATTATGTAGTGACTGGAACTGAGGAATCGTGTGTTGTACATTGAGTCTCTTAAGGCCCGTTCACACCAAGCAGGATAAATATAAAGATCCAGTTGTAGAGATGGTGGCCAGTGTTAAATATCAGCAGAGTTCACAGCAGAACCACAGCACAGAGGAGCGATATCCACACTCTCAGGAGGATTTACCCAGATGAAGAGCTATAAAACACTGACAGACAGGCAGAATGTAGAGAACATAAAGCTTCAGACACCACTGATGATGATCAGCTCTCAACACTGATCAACACTATCCTGGAGACTATTGATTACTCCATGGAGAATAATGATCAGCTGATAGATCTGACAGTCCTGCTGGTGAAGTGTCAGAAGAACAGAAGTGCAGGACCCCGCTGCTAGCTTCAGTGTGTGTGAATGCTGGAGAACTGACTGTGGTTGCTGAATGGACTGATGGATTAGATCATGGGTGCCCAAACTCGGTCCTGGAGGGCCGGTGTCCTGCAGTTTAGCTCCAACTTTCTTCAACACACCTGCTTGGAAGTTTCTAGTACACATAGGAAGAGCTTGATCAGCTGCTTCAGGTGTGTCTAATTGGGGTTGGAAATAAACTCTGCAGGACACCGGCCCTCCAGGACAGAGTTTGGTCACCCCTGGATTAGATTGATTCCTGTGAGCAGATCAACAGTGTGTTCAGATGCACTGCAGCACACTGAGACTGACCCCTGCTGGACACTACAGAGAATACACTATTAACTATTAATGGGGTTAATGCTAGACTATCAACATCATTGGCATTCCTCTGTGTGGACACTTATATATTTATCCTCTCTCTCTCTCTCTCTCTCTCTCTCTCTCTCTCTCTCAGAGGTATATGCTGTGTGAGTCGGAGGATCATCATCAGTTCTTTGATTTGCTGGAGGGCTTGTTGGAGTACGAGCCGGAGCAGCGTTTGTCTCTCTCCGCTGCGCTCCGGCATCCCTTCTTCAGTCTCCTCCGAGACACCGAACACTTCAGTGGAGGCCGTGACATTAGCCGGTGACCTCTGACCTCTGCTGCGGTCACTCATGGACAGGTGGGTCAGCCAGTATTGACCTCAGTTATGATGAAGAGAATATTGATGATCGCTCGCTGCTGATTGGTGGAGAACTAACAGCTCCTCACACCGGATTGGTCAGCCTGAGTTTGACGGACAGCTTCAGGGGCGGGACGCCTTACGGTTCTCTCGGGATCATCATGGACTAAAATAGGATTATATTATTGCACATGTGACGGTTCTCCAACGTTTTCAGTATTTATTTTATGACTTCTGTTGTTTTGTATGAGATGAATATCAGTGTGTGTACAGTACATGTTCTAGAATAAACCATGCTTCATATGAGTGCAGCGTGCGTGCGTGAAGCATGTCTGTGTTTGGAGGATTTCTGTACAAGTGTTCTGGAAGCAGCGGGTTTATCCTTCAGCTAGTGTTCACAGAGTGAGTGTGTGTTCACAGACTGCAGCATCACTTGAACACAAACACACACACACACAGTCAAATCCAGCGACCGTGTGTGTGTGTTCACAGACTCATTCTTTTCATTCATTCATCTTCTGCTGCTTTTCCGGGGCCGGGTCGCGAGAGCAGTCTTAGAAGAGAACCCCAGACTTCCCTCTCCCCCAACAATTCCTCCAGCTCCTCCGGGGGGATCCCGAGGCATTCCCAGGCCAGCCGAGAGACATAGTCCCTCCAGCGTTTCCTGGGTCTTCCCCGAGGCCTCCTCCAGGTGGGCATCTCCCTAGGTAGGCATCCAGGAGGCATCTGAAACAGATGCCTAAGTCACCTCAGCTGACTTCTCTGGATGTGGAGGAGCAGCGGCTCTACTCTGAGCTCCTCCCGGGTGTCAGAGCTCCTCACCCTGTCTATAAGAGTGCGCTCTGCCACTCTGCAGAGGAAACTAAGTACGAATGCTTGTATCCGATTTCTTGTCCTTTTAATCATGACCCAAAGCTCATGAGCACAGGTGAGAGGAGGAACGTAGATTGACCAGTAAATCGAGAGCTTTGCCTTTTGGCTCAGCTCCTTCTTCACCACAGTGGACCGGTACATCCACCACATTACTGCTGCAATGATCCGCCTGTCAATCTCACGCTCCATCCTTCCCTCACTCCTGAACAAAACCCAGAGATACTTGAACTTCTCCACCTGGAATAAGGACTTTCCTCCAACCTGAAGATGGCAAACCACCTTTACCGGTGGAGTGCCTCGAACTTGGAGGTGCTGATTGTCATCCTGTGCGAAGGATGGTTCTGATGATTCTGATGGAGGTCGAAGGTGTTCACAGACTCTAACTTACAGTCGGAGCCTTGTGTTTTTGACTGTTTGACCAGTCTGCATTTAGAGATTCATTAGTAAGAGTTGAACTGTGAGTAATGAACGCTCTACAGGCACTGCTCCTCATCAGCTGATGTCAGTCAATCCATCTACTACTGAAGCTGAGTGTGAAGTGTGACCCACATATGAGTAATGTCCAGCTGTAAACCTGGTCAGGCTTCTGACCTGCTGTCGATCAAACTGAACAGCTCTGAAAACTCTGCAGCTCTAACTCACGTTACATTAACACCGGCCATGACCCTCATGACCTCAACCTTGACCCCGAACAGCCCTCATCTGTCTGTCTGTCTGTCTGCGTGGATGTGTGTGTGTGTGTCTGTCTCTCTGTCTGGTTCACGTGTGGTCACTGATCTCCTCTCAATCTTTTAAGCTGCTCAGATGTACACACACACAGGCGCACACACACCTGATCAATCACTCAGAGAAAACACTGAAGCAGAGAACACACGCACACACACACACGCTGGACAGAGGAGAGGAAGGTCGTGTGTGTTATCAGTGACCCTGAAGAGGCCTTGATGAGCTGACAGGTGAGGACACAATTAATTACACGCACACACACACACACACACACACACACACACACACACACACACACCACAGACTCAGTGTTCTCTCCTGTCTGTTCCCTCTGTCATCAGTGTGTGTGACATATCAGGACACAGTATCACAGGTGTTACAGCAGAAGGTGAGTTATGAAGACAGTGCTGATGTCCTCTTACCTCAAACAGCTCATTAATAACACAGAACGAGTTTTTTTCAGTTAAACTGCAGTTTCCTGTGAGGCATGCAGGAGCGGGAGAGAAGATACTGTTTGTACAGTTTAAAAACCACCAAAACATGTAGAATGTCCCCATAATTCACACAAACAAACCTGTGTGTGTGTGTGTGTGTGTGTGTGTACTGGTTTATGAAATGTGTGTAACGTCATGTATATGATCAGAGTATTACATCACTGAGGTGGTTTATGAGGTCATGTCTGATGTCCTCGTAATTCACAATGCTTTAAAGTCATAATGAACAGTTTTCCACACACAGGTTGTCCACAGGTGTGTGTGTGTGTGAGTGTGGGGTCAGGGGGAGGAGCTTAAAATCAGAGCTTATGCTCTATAAAATACGCCTGTGGAGAGTCCTCATAAACCACCTATACCAGTGTGTGTGAGTGAAGTGTACCTGTTTTTATACCGTAGTGGGGACTTAAACCTGACTGCGCACTGACTAATGGGGACTTATGTTACCATGATGACTAAAATGTAAGGATTTGATGGGTAATCATGCTTCTAAATCAGACAGAATGGCAGACTTTGAAGATGAAGAATGCAGAAGGTTACCAGTGAGAGGCGAGTTCAGGGGTTTGTACAGTAGAAACATCATTACAGATATGAGAGTCCTCACTGAGATATAGGAACAAGTGTGTGTGTGTGTGTGTGTGTGTGTGTGTGTGTGTGATGTCGTCTGTCTATCCTCACTCACAGATGGATCTGCATCTGCCAGCACTTTTGTTAATCATCTTGATTATTGTGGGTCTGCTTGTTGATCATCATCATCATCAGTGCGGATTACATTACAGCATTCAGGAAAGCTGGAGCGTTGAAATAGCTTTTCTGTGCTGGATCTATATATATATATATATATATATATATATATATATATATCTGTTTTTCAAATATGAGGATAAACTTTTTTTAGTCACTCTATATTTTAATGTACAGTTCGCACTATTTATAAGCTACTAACTGAGAGTTTTAGCTCAGTAACCCACTAATTAGCTGATTATTAGCTGGTTAGTAAGCTAGTAGCTGTGTTTAGCTGTTGGGTATGATCAGGGATGTAGAATAAGATCATGCTTAGTGCTGGTAAACAGTTAATATCTGAATAATTGGCAGATAATAAGCCATTAGTAAATATTCATGCACTGTCGATGTGTTTATACATTTGTTTGTGTACTGTAAGAAATCATCTACCGTTATTTTTATTTATTTTACAGGTAGAACAAAAACAAGCCATTCAACTGTGGGTGTGTGTGTGTGCTTGTGTATGTATGGGAGTGTGCATGGTTATGTGTGCATGAGTGCATGTGTATCCATGTAAGTGTATGAGTGCATGTGTGTGTATGAGTGTGTTTGACTCCATGCATGTGTTTGTATGAGTTTGTTGCGTGTGTATGACTGTTTGTTATGACTTTGTGTGTGCGTGTGCGTGTGTGTGTGTGTGTGTGTGTGTGTGTGTGTGTGTGTGAAAGCTGCACGTGCATCTGCTCCTGTGCCGTCTAATGAGATTCCCCTTGTTAAACTCTTTACTGTAGTAATCTCTCTCTCACACACACAGTAGATCTGCACAGAACGACAGCCGGAGCAAACAGCAGCGTCCTGAAGGAGACGAATATTCAGAGAAAAAGGAGAGATCATCCTGAAAACAGCAAGCGAGTGTTTTATTGGCCTGCAGAGCGACGCATCACTGATGCAGACCCTGAGTGCATCTCTGTGTGCAGGTATATATATATATATATATATTTGACCTCTCTGGCATGCTATAACATTCAGCAAATCTGATTCTTCCTCAGTGTTTTAAAGTATTAGTATGAGTGAACTAGTTATTGATTAATGTAAACATATATAGATGCTTTTTACAGTTTGATTTGTTTGCATCTTTAACTCACAACTCTGCAGACTCACTGCGTTTGTGCATCAGCATTTAATAATATATTTTTATAACATTACATTTTATTGTAATTTTGTTGTTGATTATTGCACAGTTAATTATTGCACTAACATCAACAAAATGAAAGAGAGCGGCTTAATAAAATCATATATTGTTGTTTAATGTTTCAACTGCACTTAATTAGGCTTTATCAATATCTAGGCCAACACAACATCTGTTAGCTGAGGTTTATGCAGATCTTTCAGCCCATTCATTTGGTTGTTAGAGTATTTGTTTACTTGTGTAAATGTGTGTTTATTCTATATTTTATATAATGCAAATGTTCATTTGATTCATGTTCAGTACAGCTTGTGTGTTTCTTCAGTCTCTTAGTAAATGTATATTAAATGAGAGACTGTGTGCACCATCTAACTGGATTGGCATTGTTAATACAAGTTAAAGTTAGTCATTTAATTCCATGTGCTGAGTTTTAGTTAGTAAACTCAGACGGGGCAGAATGAGCACTCTTCAAGATACTCTCAATATCATTACGCATAAATCTGCAGATCTTTAACTAAATTCTGCACAGAAATGTCTGCAGACGATGTGTCTGACCCTGCTCATTCTTCAATCATAGGAATTTTTACTCAAGATTTAAACATGCAAAATGTGTTCAAATAAAGTGAGTTCCTGAAACAACAGCAGATTTATCTATTAGGTGCATTTATTCTAATATTTGTTCAAAGCTCTGAATTGACCAATCACAGCGCAGGATGTGTGTGCATGTATATTTATATATACACTCACCGGCCACTTTATTAGGTACAACTTACTAGTACCAGGTTGGACCCCTTTTGCCTTCAAAACAAAGCTGCTCTATTGGATTGAGCTCTGGTGACTGTGGAGGCCATTTGAGTGCAGTGAACTCATCGTCATGTTCAAGAAAGCAGTCTGAGATGATTGAGCTTTATGACATGCTGCGTTATCCTGCTGGAAGTAGCCATCAGAAGATGGAGACACTGTGCTCATAAAGGGATGGACATGGTCAGCAGCAATACTCAGGTAGGCTGTGGCGTTGATGCTCAATTGGTACTAATGGACCCAAAGAAAATCTCCCCCACACCATTACACCACCACCACCAGCCTGAACCGCTGATACAAGGCAGGATGATCCATGCTTTCATGTTGTTGAGGCCAAATTGTGAGCCGAGCATCCGAATGCAGAGCTCGGTTGTAGCGAGTGCTTATTTGAGTTACTGTTGCCTTTCTATCAGCTGGAACCAGTCTGGCCATTCTCCTCTGACCTCTGGCCTCATCAACAAGGCATTTGCGCCCACAGAACTGCCGCTCACTGGATATTTCCTCTTTGTCGGAGCGTTCTCTGTAAACCCTAGAGATGGTTGTGCGTGAAAATCCCAGTAGATCAGCAGTTTCTGAAATACTCAGAGCAGCCCGTCTGGCAGCAACAACCATGCCACGGTCAAAGTCTCTTAAATCCCCTTTCTTCCCCATTCTGATGCTCACTTTGACCTGCAGCAGATCCTCTTGACCATGTCTACATGCCGAAATGCAGTGAGCTGCTGCCCTGTGATTGGCTGATTAGAAATGTGAGTTAAGAAGCAGTTGGACAGGTGTACCTAATAAAGTGGCCGGTGAGTGTATACAACTCGTGTGTGTGTGTGTGTGTGTGTGTGTGTGTGTGTGTGTGTGTGTCTGTGTGTGTGTATGTGTGTGTGTAACTGATGGTGTGTGTATATATATGACGTATGGTGTGTGTGTGTGTGTGTGTGTGTGTGTTTTGTGTATATTTGACTGATGGTGTTTGTGTGTCCTTGTCCTTGCAGATGCGAGTGTGTGAGACCTGTTAAACCTCCTCATCTATAAATCATGATCTGTCCAGACTCTCTCACACACACACTCTCTCATGCTTACACACACACACTGCTGATCCAGATCTGAGTGTAAGGCCGTTCTCCAAGTCCTCATGGAGTCTGTGGTGAAGAGGTCTCTCCTGGCGCCCATGAAGACGCTCCAGTGCTGTGTGAGCGGCGACAAGCAGCAGGCCAGCAGATCACAGGGTCAGAGGTCAAAGGTCACCCGCGTGCAGGACCCACGTGTGCTGCGATCCTATGAGGCTGAGCTGCAGAAAGAGAGGTGAGGCTGACGTCACAGAACATCATGTCCAACACCGTGTTTTACAGACTCGCATCTAAACATCCTTAAAGGAGACCTGTGAAGAACATCTAAGTGTGCCAAGGCCTGCAGTGGAGTAATCAGAGGTTATAGTGTATGGAAATGGCCTCATCCTCAGACACCACTGTTTCCTCATTCTCATGTATATCACACAAGTGTAAACCACATTGGACAAAGACCCATCAGAATACAAAGCAGACTGTTGCGTGACTCAAAGGCCCCGCCCTCATCATTTGCATGTAGCTACTTTAGGCCACATTCAACATCATCAGGAGTTCAGCAGCTATCAAGAGTCTGATATGTTGATTATTATAGTGGATATGACACTTGTTTAAACTCAATCTTTGAGGTGTTGTACTGTGAGGTAACACTTTTTACCTGCTTATTATTATTATTATTATTATGAAATTAACTGTTTAGCACTAATAAAGTATGGTCTCATTCTACATCCCTAATTCAGTCACATACCTGAACCCAACTGCTGCTTTACTAACAATTAATGAGAGTTTTTGTGCGTATAGTCTCAGTTAAAGGTGTGTTAATGTGGTGAATCGTACATTAAAATGAAGTGTGACCAACAGCAGGTCATCAAGTATTTAATGATGACATTTCAGCCAAACCAGCTGATTCACTAATGTTCTTTATCATTTCATCTTCAGGAAGTTGAGGGAAGCGATGAACGCTAAGAAGAACGCAGAGAGAGCTGCGATGAGGGCTCATTTCAGGAGGAAATACCAGCTGAGCCAGGTAAACACACACACAGCTGAGGTCATTCACGTTACAAACACTGATTCACACACTGTATATCACCATATCAGCTCAGCGTCTCTCTGTTTATCATTAACTTCTGTCTCTTTAAATGCTCCTGCTCATTGAAGAAGGGTTGATTCTGATTGGCTGATGGTCACTGTTAGGTGTTTATTGTCAGATAAAGGCACAGCTAAAGTAGTTCCAGCAGGTTTTTACAGCTGCATATCACTCCACTGAATGATTATTAGACAGCTACAACAGTCAGAATCACAGCAGAACACAACAGGGGGAGGAGGAGGAGATGTGGAGGACACTAGTGCTACACACAAGATGCTTGAGGAGGACCAAATGTTATTCATATAAGCGAGATCAAATATCTAATCTTAATAAATGATCCTGCTTTTCCCCGGAATCCTCTGGCCAGTTTATATTTTTGATGTTCAATAAAAGCAAGAATAACTATACAAAGGAAAATTAGCTTGTTTAAACACCAGTCAACACACTTCATATGAAGCTGCCGAGGGTAGAAGGATAGAAGTGTCTGCTAAATATGATTATTGTGCTGCAAACATGTTAAAACTCTCGCTCATTTGTCTTTTCTGTGTGTCCAGAATGCCAAGGACTCTGCGCAGCTACGTGCCGTGGGTGGGAAGGTGTTTCTGTCTGGAGATCTGGCCAGGATGGTTCGCCCCGACGCACCTGAGAAAGACGATGGTTTCAATTTGATCAGAGCCTTTCAGGGCCTCAAATTCAGTGGACCGATGTTCACCGGCAGCAAACACAGCAGAGCGGACAAAACAACCAATGAAGAGCCGTGCAGAGTCATGTAAACTCTCAGAAACACAGACTGAACACCACACGACACATGCAATACACAGAGCGGCCAGCGGAGGCGATACTGAGCTCTGCAGAGTCACGTAAACTCTCCAAAACACTGACCGAACACGCAATACACAGAGCAGCCAGCGGAGGCGATACTGAGCTCTGCAGAGTCACGTAAACTCTCCAAAACACTGACCGAACACGCAATACACAGAGCAGCCAGCGGAGGCGATACTGAGCTCTGCAGAGTCACGTAAACTCTCCAAAACACTGACCGAACACGCGATACACAGAGCAGCCAGCGGAGGCGATACTGAGCTCTGCAGAGTCACGTAAACTCTCCAAAACACTGACCGAACACGCAATACACAGAGCGGCCAGCGGAGGCGATAATGAGCTCTGCAGAGTCACGTAAACTCTCCGAAACAGTGATCCAACACGCAATACACAGAGCAGCCAGCGGAGGCGATACTGAGCTCTGCAGAGTCACGTAAACTCTCCAAAACACTGACCCAACACGCGATACACAGAGCAGCCAGCGGAGGCGATACTGAGCTCTGCAGAGTCACGTAAACTCTCCAAAACACTGACCGAACACGCAATACACAGAGCGGCCAGCAGAGGCGATACTGAGCTCTGCAGAGTCACGTAAACTCTCCGAAACACTGACCGAGTACGCAATACACAGAGCAGCCAGCGGAGGCGATACTGAGCTCTGCAGAGTCACGTAAACTCTCCAAAACACTGACCCAACACGCGATACACAGAGCAGCCAGCGGAGGCGATACTGAGCTCTGCAGAGTCACGTAAACTCTCCAAAACACTGACCGAACACGCAATACACAGAGCCGCCAGCTTGAACTCTTTCTATTTCATACCTCATATTTTTGACACAGACGTCAGGAAACTCTGATCTCATTTTTGTTTTGTTTAAATTTTATTGTATTTATTATTTTATTTAATCGTGTTCTGTGTGTTTCTTAATTGATTTTTGTTATTGAGTTTTGTTTAAGTTCTGTCTTTGTGTTAATGCCTGTCAAACACTAAAGAGGTTTTCAGGTATCAAAACAATAAAAGTGAAATACAGACGTAAGTTTGTGTTTTTCTCTGTAGAATGTAGAAATCTAGTGATGGTCATTGATTTTTGTCTTGATTTCCAGGGTCAGTTTTGTTTATATTAGTATCAGCTGTTACGTGATAGATTTACATATTGGGTCATGACTGAAAGGACAAGATCTGGAGGGACTATGTCTCTCGGCTGGCCTGTGAACCGATTCCTTTGGACATAAATTTATTTCACTAAAGGATGATGAACTTTATTTCACCCTTACACCGCAGGTCTGTCGAATGCTTGATTCTGATTGGCTGATGGCCATTCTCAGATGTTTGGTTATTGTCATATAAAGGCACAGGTAGTTAGACAGTAGTTCCGGCAGGTTTTTACAGCTCCATATCACTCCGCTGAGTTATTTCACAGCTACAACAGTCAGACATCACAGCAGAACACAACAGACAGACGGTGGTGAATAATGAGGACATTGCTGACGTCCTCATTTCTCCAAAAGCTTCTAAATCTCACAGAGCGAGTGTTTTTTCAAGAGTAAAGCTGCACAGTTCCCTGTGAGGGCTGGGTCAGGTGTGCATCGGGCAAGGAACAATGAAAACTTATGGAATGTCCCCACAACTCACTGAAACAAATGTGTGTGTGCATGTGTGTTTCTTTCCTATTGGACCTGTGCTCAATCGTGTGTGTTGTTTTAATCTGTGCTGTCTTGTGTGAGTGTGTGTGTGTGTGTGTGTGTGTGTGTGTTATGTTTCTGTGTGTGTTTTCTCTTGACCTGTGCTCCTCTACAGCAATAACTCCTCTGTGTGTTAGTGTGTGTGTATATATGTATATATGTGTGTGTGTGTGTGTGTGTGTGTGTGTGTGTGTGTGTGTGTGTGTGTCAGCAGGAGGACAGACGCTCAGGATACTCTGCTGTTCTCCAGTTCTCAGTGTAGTGTGTGTGAGATCAGCATCGGCAGCATGTTCTCCTCCTGCGCTGGGTCTGTGTGTGCGCGTCCGCATCTGTGTGTGCGTGCATCTGTGTGTGTGCGTCCGCTTCACCAAAGCTCCAGATCCGCTGGAGCCGCTCGACTCTTCCAGGAGATCCCGGACACCGGCAGCAACGGCTGGATGAACCTGCTGCGCTTCTGGAGGGACGGACGCTTCAGCCGCATGCACAAACACATGGAGGAGTCCTTCAGACGCCTCGGGCCCATATACAGGTACACACACTACACATATACAGGTACACACACTACACATATACAGGTACACACACTACACATATACAGGTACACACACTACACATATACAGGTACACACACTACACATATACAGGTACACACACTACACTTATACAGGTACACACACTACACATATACAGGTACACACACTACACTTATACAGGTACACACACTACACATATACAGGTACACACACTACACATATACAGGTACACACACTACACATATACAGGTACACACACTACACATATACAGGTACACACACTACACATATACAGGTACACACACTACACTTATACAGGTACACACACTACACATATACAGGTACACACACTACACATATACAGGTATACACTCTACATAGACTCACCGGCCACTTTATTAGGTACACCTGTCTAATCAGCCAATCACAGGGCAGCAGCTCACTGCATGTCGGCATGTAGACATGGTCAAGAGGATCTGCTGCAGGTCAAAGTGAGCATCAGAATGCAGAAGAAAGGGGATTTAAGAGACTTTGAACGTGGCATGGTTGTTGCTGCCAGACGGGCTGCTCTGAGTATTTCAGAAACTGCTGATCTACTGGGATTTTCACGCACAACCATCTCTAGGGTTTACAGAGAATGCTCCGACAAAGAGGAAATATCCAGTGAGCGGCAGTTCTGTGGGCGCAAATGCCTTGTTGATGAGGTCAGAGGTCAGAGGAGAATGGTCAGACTGGTTCCAGCTGATAGAAAGGCAACAGTAACTCAAATAAGCACTCGTTACAACCGAGCTCTGCAACTTGAACCTTATTGTTGAAGAGGAGCAAGTCTTCATTCATGTGTGTGTGTTTCAGAGAGCACCTGGGCTCTCAGAGCAGTGTGAACATCATGCTGCCCATGGACACCGGTGAGCTGTTCCGCTCGGAGGGTCTTCACCCGCGCCGCATGACCCTGCAACCCTGGGCCACACACCGAGAGACACGCAGACACAGCAAAGGAGTCTTCCTCAAGTCAGTCTGTGTGCGCGTGTGTGTGTGTGTGTGTGTGTGTGTGTACATTTCTAAAGTCACTGTACCATGAGTGTGTAAAAGTGTGTGTGTGTGTATGTGTACACTCTTAAAGTCACTGTACCATGAGTGTGTAAAAGTGTGTGTGTGTGTATGTGTACACTCTTAAAGTCACTGTACAATGAGTGTGTATAAGTGTGTGTGCGTGTATGTGTGTGTGTGTGTGTGTGTGTGTGTGTGTAAGTACCATGAGTGTGTATAAGTGTGTGTGTGTGTGTGTGTGTGTGTGTACACTCTCAAAGTCACTGTACCATGAGTGTGTGTGTGTGTGTGTACACACTTAAAGTCACTGTACCATGAGTGTGTATAAGCGTGTGTGTGCACATACATCAAAGTATGTGTGTGTTTGTGATTATGCATTAGTGTGTGTGTGGGTTTGAGTGTGTGCGTAAATATGTGGATGTAGTGCTTTTAATGCGCACACCTAACCCCGCCCCTCACAGTGACATCACTCGCTCCCTTGAGTGTGTGTGTGTGACGCTGCATCTCTGAGACATGCAGTGTCAGCTCACATATGCTAGTCTGCATCCGGATACTGCTGTGTGTGTAAGTGTAGATGTATGTCAGTTTGTGTGTACATTTTTGTGTGTTATATGGCTCAAATGTGTGTGTGTGTGTGTGTGTGTGTGTGTGTGTGTGTGTGTGTGAGGAACGGGACGGAGTGGCGTGCTGACCGTCTGCTGCTGAACCGTGAGGTGATGGTGTCCTCGTCTGTCCACCGCTTTCTCCCGCTGCTGGATGAAGTGGCGCAGGATTTCTGCCGTTCGCTGCGGCGCCGCGTTCAGGCGGACGGGTTCGAGAAGGCGGGGCAGCACACACTGACCCTTGACCCCAGTCCTGACCTCTTCCGCTTCGCATTGGAAGGTCAGCCTCTTCTAATTCCTCGTTAATAGAGAAGGGCTGTTACTGAAACTGCAGGGCGGGACTTTGTCAGTTGCTGATTGGATGTTGAGATGTGGGCGTGGCTCTACATATCAGAGGCGGAGCTGAATGTAATGCAGTGGATTGTAACAGAGGCGGGGCCAGAGAAGACTGATGACTGTCATATATTTAAATAATGTTTGCCGTGTGATCGTCAGATAATTAAATCAATTAAATTAAATATTAGGAGTGTTTCCCTCCGCTGATGATGCGATCAGTAAGAGCAGCTGTGATTGGTCTGTGCAGCGAGCTGTCACGTTCTGTACGGCGAGCGGATTGGCCTGTTCTCCTCGTGCCCGTCTGACGAATCAGAGCGCTTCATTTCGGCTGTGGAGCGAATGCTGGCCACGACCCCCCCGCTGCTGTACCTGCCCCCCCGCCTGCTGCTGCGGCTGCGCGCCTCCCTGTGGACAACACACGCCACTGCATGGGACGACATCTTCAGCCACGGTCAGTGTGTGTGTGTGTGTGTGTGTGTGTTTTTGTTTTACTGCCTACAAGTGTGCTCCCAGACCTCAACAGCTAATATGTGTGTGTGTGTGTGTGTGTGTGTGTGTGTGTGTGTGTGTGTGTGTGTGTGTGTGTGTGTGTGAGAGCAAGCATGGGAGATGTTAGTGTGTGTGTGTGTGTAAGAGTGTGAGAGATGATTGTGTGTGTATGTGGGAGAGTGGGAGAAAAAGAGTATGAAACCGTGTGTGTGTGTGTGTGTGTGTGTGTTTCACGAGTGCATGTTCATGAGTGTGTTTTTAAGTATGAGTTATGTTCATGAGTGTGTGTTCACGAGTGTGTGTGTGTGTTGTCAGCGGAGCAGCGTATCCAGCGTAGCTATCAGCGTCTGCAGGCGAGGCCGTCTGCTGCTCCAGACTGCAGCTTCCCGGGGGTTCTGGGAAAGCTGATGGAGGCGGGACAGTTATCATTAGAGCTGATCAGAGCCAACATCACTGAGCTGATGGCCGGCGGAGTTGACACGGTACACACACACACACACACACACACACACACACACACACACACACTCTCAGAGTTTCAGTGTTTATTCTGTGTGTGTTGAACATTATCATGTTTCAGTATCTTGAATTAAAACCCCTCCCTCTCTTAACACACCTCGCCTCTGATTGGTGTTTACTGGCCTGAGGGCGGAGTCAAGCGCTCACTCACATGAGATCCACCAATAGCAAACCACAATCACTTCAACGTGTGTTTGTGTGCATCTTTGTTTTTCAAGTTGCCTTTAAAAGTGATCATATGACCCATGTGTTTGCCCGTGTGTGTGTGTGTGTGTGTGTGTGTGTGTGTGTGTGTGTGTGTGTGTGTCAGACGGCCGTGCCGCTGCAATTCGCTCTCTTTGAGCTGGCGCGTAACCCTGATGTGCAGGAGTGTGTGCGCGCGCAGGTTCTGTCGTCATGGCAGCAGGCGTCTGGAGACCCTCTGAAGGCCCTGCAGGGGGCGCCGCTGCTGAAGGGGACCATCAAGGAGACACTGAGGTAACACTGACCACACACACACACACATTGATGATACACACAAACACTGAACTGGACTAAACTAAATTGTCATTAAATCCTAGTGAACAGTGTGTGTGTGTGTGTCTGCTGTGTTCAGGTTGTATCCTGTGGGAATCACCGTTCAGAGGTATCCAGTCAGAGACATCGTCCTGCAGAACTACCACGTGCCGGCAGGGGTGAGAAACACACACACACATCTACACACACACACACACACATGTTTGCAAACATGCACCTCTGCACAAACGCACACACACACACCCTCTTAAACCTGAGTGTGTGTGTGTGTTTAGACGCTGGTGCAGGTGTGTCTGTATCCCCTGGGTCGTTCCGCTGAGGTGTTCTCCAGGCCGGAGTGTTTCGACCCCAGCCGCTGGAGCGCAGACGCAGACGCCGGGTCTGCAGGAGGCTTCCGCTCGCTGGCGTTCGGCTTCGGCTCCAGGCAGTGTGTGGGACGCAGGATAGCAGAGAACGAGATGCAGCTGCTGCTCATGCACGTGAGACAACACACACACTGATCAGCACACACACACACACACTGATCAGCACACACACACACACACTGATCAGCACACACACACACACACACTGAGGAACACTGTTACAGCCGGCTGTTATGCTGCAACAAAAAGGAGGCCCAGACGCAGCCATCATCAGCAGAATAACATTTATTTGACCAGAACAATGAGATTAACGATATCGAGTAAACGAAGAGGCGGCGCCAAAATGGGACGGTCAACGCAGCTTAACCGAGCTCCATGCCCAGGCGATCGCTCAGAATCCCATTGCGCTCACAAGTACACCAAATGCTGTTTAATATCCTCGTCCCAGCAAGCGGCAGCTGAGTGTGTATGGAAGGTGACTACAGCCTATTTTAAATACATCAAATAAACATTGTGAATTAAAATGAACACTATGGAGCTAATAACATGCCAAAACAATCTGACATCGAGTTGGGTTAATCTGAATTGTAATTTAATAAATCTGAATATTTATATGCTGTTAAAAATGGTTTGAATTTGAATTTCATAACTTGAATATTGAACATCTGAAATTTAGGACAACTGAATTTTTCCAGGCTGAATTTGTTTTATAGATGCATTCTCAAACTTCAGATTTTTTGTGTTCTGAATTCAGACTGCAGATATCGGGTTTGTAAAAATACAGTTTTAGATTTTCTAGATGAAGAGATTCAGAACATCAAATTCAATATCTTAAAACTCAAAGCCTGAAATTCAGATGGTGAAACTCAGATTCAGCAGAACACAGGTCAGGGTAGGCCACACAGAATCTGTGCGCGCAGATTTTCGGCAGATGTTTAGCCCGTCATTAATTCTGTTTATTTACTTGAGTAAATGTGTGTAATTCTATACTTATTTAGTTTTTAAATTAATTACAGTAATATTATTGACTAATGTGAAAATGTTCATCTGATTAATGCACAATGCAGTTTGTATTTTCTGACTTTTAGCAGAGATATTATATGAGACTTGCTTTGTTTTACCAAATAAACTGGATCTAATTGAATTTGCAATTTTAACAACAGGCTTTGTGAATATTGTGTTTGCATTTTAGTTTGCAGTTTGGCTTTTCATTTTAATATCGGCAGTCTTGATGCAGAAATGCAGAGGTAATCAAATGTTAAATCTGCAGCTTCATTTTATTTATGGGTTTGACGGGGACGAGGTGTTGTCACAGTGAACATCTAAATAAAATCATCTGATTAGTAATGTCGGCAGATCTTTAGTGAATGGAAGTGTTCATCTGCTCTTCATTTTCATTTACAGCATTAATTTAATTTATTTGAAATTGGCAGGAGTTACCTTCCATACCTGTGCACACACTCACAACCTATAGGCTGGGTCGACACACACACAAACACAGATCAATATACATACACATGCACAACTATCTGCACACAAACACATTTACACAATCACACATCTGCACAAACATTATCTGTTCAAACCAAATCACATGACTTTACTGACACGTGTGTGTGTGTGTGTGTGTGTGTGTGTGTGTGTGTGTGTGTGTGTGTGTGTGTGTGTGTTGTAGATTCTGAGGACCTTCAAGCTGACGGTTTCGTCCACAGAAGAGCTGAGCACTAAATACACACTGATCCTGCAGCCCGAGTGTCCACCGAGAATCACCTTCAGCACACTCACACACCAGCACTGATCCATCAGTCAATCATCAATCAATCAATCAATCAATCAATCAGTCGTCAGTCGACCCCGCGGCTGTGCTTGTTCAGGAGTTCTGAATGTGGATTATCAGCTGCTGTTTCATGACAACACAATAAATCAACTGATCAAACACTCACAACAACACTCTATTATTTCAAGTGTGTGTGTGTGTGTGTGTGTGTGTGCTTGTGTGTGTTTGTGTGTGTGTGCGTTTTTGTATTAGTAAAATGTGTAATAGTGTGTGTGCGTGTTCCTTTATATGAGTGAGATGTGTCTCTGTGTGTTTCTGTTTTTCTCCTCTGTGTGTGTGTGTGTGTGTGTGTGTGTGTGTGTGTGTGTGTGTGTCCTCAGTCCAGCAGGTGGTGCTGCAGTTGATCAGTGTGTCTTCACTTGTCTTGAGCTCAGACTGAAGATCTTCTACACACTCGCTCAGGTAAGACACACGTCCGTCTCTCTCTTAACATCAGTCAAGTGTTTTGTGTGTGTGTGTGTGTGTGTGTGTGTGTGTGTGTGTGTATGTTTGTTTTATGTTTTGGAATATACACTCTTGCTCAGTTCCTCTTTCACATTTCAGAGTTCAGAGGTAAATCTCAGCACATCTATTGTGATTGACTCATAAACACTGATTCAGCAGAGAGAGAGCGAGAGAGTGTGTGTGTGTGTGTGTGTGTGTGTGTGTGTGTGTGTGTGTGTGTGTGTGTGTGTGTTCATCTTCAGCTCTGTCTGAGAGAGTGAATGTGAAGGCTCATGAGTAGAGTGTTGTTTCATGATTTCAGTGAGTATGTGAGCGTCTCTTCTCCGATTCTTTCAGCCCAAAGGTTTGTTTGTGCACTAGTTAGTGATTTACTAGAGCTGTTAGTCACTGCGGCTCTGCGGAAACGCCTGCTGGAGATAAAGACAGTCAGAGTCCATGCAGAACTCTTCAGAAGAAGATACCCTGAGAAACGTCTCTGCTGCATATCATGAAAGTCAACGGTGTGGTTCTTCTAGACATGCCTTTTAAACCTTTCAAGATCACCACACACAAGAAGCCCTGAATATCAATCTGGCTATTTTTAAATGTTAAAACATCACTGTTCAGCATTGCATTTAATGCACCTGTCTTACCTGTTCACCTGTCTATTATCTGTTCTCTCTTATTAATTATGAATGCTGTATGTTATGTGTGTCTATTTGTATGCGAAGCGTTTGGGAAAGTAACTTTAAAGGCACTTCATAAATAAAGCTATTATTATTAATAATTAATAACAATATAATCAAACCTTAAAAGAAGCAGCAGTTACAAAATGACTAAAATAAAATAAAGAAAATAAATCAGTCAATAAATAAATCATTAGGTTGAGGGAGACTGCACATTGTGTGTATATTTACAGAATTTCCTCTTCATTTTCTATCAACTTGAACTGATGCACAACAAATGTATAATGTACAGAAAACCGAATCTATTATTGACGTAAAATATGCAAAATGCTTAAATGTGATGGAGATTCTGTTACAGATAGTTGTTTAACTTATTATTAACAATATCAGAGTCTGTACCAGAGTTGACGATAGCAGAGTCAACAATATGAGAGTCGATGATATGAGAGTTGACGATATAAGAGTCATCGATATGAGAGTTGACGTTAACCGAGTCGACTGTAAACGAGTTGATGGTAATAAAGTTGATGTTAAAGGTCAACAGTAGCAGAGTCGGCAGTTACAAAGTCTACGATATGAAAGTCGATAGTAGCAGAGTTGAAGGTATTAGAGTCGAGGGTAACAAAGTCAACTCTAAAAGTCAACAGTAGCAGAGTCGGCAGAAACAAAGTCTACGATATGGTAGTTGACAGTATTAGAGCCGACAGTAGCAGAGTTGACAGTATCAGAGTCAACGGTAACAGTCGACGATATGAGTCGATGGTATGAGAGTCAACAGTATTAGATCTGACAGTATCGGAGTCGACGGTAACAGTCGACAATATAAAAAAGTCGACGGTAACAGAGTCAACGATATAAGAGGTGACAGTAACAGAATTAACAATATTAGAGTTGAGCATATGAGAGTCAACGATACGAAAGTTGATGTTAACCAAGTTGACGTTAACCGAGACGATGGAATCAGATTCAACAGTGACAAAGTTGACTGTAACAAAGTCTCCGGAAAACAAAGCTTGTGTTAAAAGTCAACAATAGCAGAGTCGGCAAAAACAGAGTTGAAGTTAACAGGGTCGACAATAACAGAGTAAAGATATGAGTAAAGCCGTCGATAGCAGAGTTGACTGTAACAGTTGACGATAAGAGAGTCGACGGTAACAGCGTCGACATGATGAGAGTCAATGTCAACTGAGTCGACAGTAACCAAACTGACTGTAACAACGTCTATGGTAACAAAGTTGGCGTTAAAAGTCAGCAGTAGCAGAGTTAGCAGTAACAAAGTCAGCGATATTAGAGTCGACGGTAGCAGAGTTAACTGTAAAAAGTCGCGATAACAGAGCTGACGGTAACAGACTTGATTATAACAAAGTCAACGATAACAGTCAACGATATGAGAGTCGACGCTAACAGAGTCAAAGTTAACAAGGTCGACGGTAGTACAGTTGGCGATATGAGAGTCGACGATATGAGAGTTGATGATATGAAAGTTGATGTTAACCAAGTTGACATTAATCGAGTCGACTGTAACAAAGTCTACGGTAACAAAGTTAATGTTAAAAGTCAGTATTAGCAGAGTCGGCAGTTACAAAGGTGGTGATATTAGAGTCAACATTAGCAGAACCTATAGTGTCAGAGCCAACGGTAGCAGAGTTAACTGTATCAGTTGTCGGTAAAAGTCGACAATAACAGAGCTGACGGTAACAGACTTAATGATAACAGTCAACGGTAACAGTCGACGATATGAGAGTCAACATTAACAGAGTCAAAGTTAACTAGGTCGACGGTAGCAGAGTTGATGATATGAGAGTCGACAGTAGCAGAGTCGACGATATGAGAGTTGATGGTAACAGAGTTAACAATATGAGAGTTGACAATATGAAAGTTAATGTTAACCAAGTTGACGTAACCAAGTCTATGGTAATAAAGTTGATGTTAAAAGTCAGCAGTAGCAGAATCGGCAGTAACAAAGTCGGCGCTATTAGTGTCGACCGTAGCAGAACCAATAGTATCAGAGCCAACGGTAGCAGAGTTGCCGGTAAAAATTGATGAAGCTGACGATAACAGAGTCGACAATATTAGAGTCAATGAAATAAGAGTTAATGGTAAAATAGTTGAAGAGAACTAACTTGGCGGTAACAGAGTTGACAGTAATAGAATTGACAGTAACAGAGTAAAAATCAGGTGTAGTGCAAGTTTTTAATAGTTCCTGAAGAAAACGTCTCTTAATATCAACACAGACATCATTTATCGAGATTTTAGATGTGTTAAAGTTTTTATTTTTGAAGGTAACAGGTTTCTGTCGGACATTCAAATGTGCCCTCGATTCTACAATCAGCCACGTGTGATGGAGATGATGTTTGCGTTGACTCTGGTGGGCTTGTGCGGTGTTGAATGAGCTGGTTTGTGGATATCTTTAGTACGGTCAAAGTCTAGATGGTCATTTTTAGCTTCAGGGAAGATGAGCAAACAAACACTGACCTCAATGAGGCTGAGGGACGAGAGACACTGAGGGAGAGAGGGAGAGAGAGAGGATAAAAAGCCTGAGTGAGAGAATCAGTCAGTGTGTGTGCAGAAGGTCAGCAGCTGTCAGGATGGGTGGTGAGTACACACACACACACACACACACACACACACACACAGAGCATGATCCCTCTCTCTTTAACTGTCTTCAAACGGGTTGTTTCTCCTGATATTTCAGTTAAAGGTGTCCGTCGCTCCTCTAG